CAGGCAGCTGGGAGGTCTCCATCCCCGGGTCTCCGGTGGGTCTCTCCCGTCGGTGTTGGTCAGGGAGCGGGTGTCCTGGCGATGCTGCGAGCGGGCAGCAGCCATCCCGGTGGCAGGGAGACCCCGGCTAGAGGAGTGCATGGCTGGGGCACTGCCTCGCCCCGCTGCAGTGGGCAGTGGAGAGGGGTGAATCTTTTGTGGCTCCCCGAAAAGGAGCACAGCTAAGGTGAAGTCAGACAATGACTCAAGCAACAATACAACAGGATTTAATTTGATTTCCTCAGCAACTGCAAAAATATTACGGATCGACTGCTCAGAGTCAAGCAGCAGCCCACACTTACCAATTATCCACAGGTAACACTTATCAATTAAGCACCAAATAATGCTTATCAATTATTTGGAGGTAAAATCAGGCAGAAAACAGAGTAGGAAAGAGTTGAAAGATAACAAAGAGGGGGGCAGAAAGAGAGAGAGGCAGTGACACACGGACAAAGACATAGAGATATCACCACCCCTCCGTTCCAGCACCGTGTTACCTCAGGCAGAAATCTTCTTCCGTGGGTGATGGGTTGACAAAGAGTAGGTGGTCGTGCTCACCTTTTATACGGTTCAGTCGGTCCGGGACCACCCCTTGCGGGGCGCAACAGCCCTGTATCCAGGTTGCCTTTGGGGGTGCAGCTGGTTCTCCACTGGGGAGACAAACCCCAGCCCCCAGCACCATGCACCACCTCAGCTGGTGTGCTGGCACTGGAATGTCAACAACTCACTCATGTCCCATCACAAAAGAGCTTTTCTTCTAACATGCTCTGCCCGAGCTGTTCGTAGACATGGTGGAGCCTATTCTTTAGAAATGTTCTGCCCATGGTTTGAGATGTAGACATGGACACTCAGCAGTCTCCGACAGGGACAGGGTGAGGGGCTGGCTCGGGACCTCGTGGGACGTCAGGACTTCTTGTCATCACTTTGGAAAGATGGGGAGGCACTCGATCAAGAAGTGTGGCAATAGGATGAGGGGTAGTGGTTTTAAGCTGAAAGAGGGGAGATTGAGATGGTATCTGAGGAAGAAATGTTTTCCTGTGCAGGGGGTGAGGCAGTGGCCCAGGTTGCCCAGAGAAGCTGTGGATGCCCCATCCCTGGAGGGGTTCAAGGCCAGGCTGGATGAGGCTTTGAGCAACCTGGGCTAGTGGGAGGTGTCCCTGCCCATGGCAGGGGGTGGCACTGGATGGGCTTTAAGGTCCCTTCCAACCCAAACCCTTCTGTGATTCTGTTATACGATTCTACGATGACAGGGCAGCAGTCTCCATGCTGACTCTGGTTTCCATCCGTGCAGTGTTGGCCACATCTCTTCCTCCCAAGCTCAGCGATGACCATCCAGCTGTCCGGGCAGAAGTGCTCCCGCCTGGCCCCACGCCAGCCCCACACGCCTGTCCCACACGCCTTCAGTGCCAGCCGCTGGTGCCAGCTCTGCCAAGGGGGGGACTTTCCGCCCCATAGCCATCATTCCCAGCCCAAAGCTTTGCTCACTGAGTCTGCCCAGGGACTTGCTCCTGGACCTGCTGGGAGCCGGCAGCAGGCAGCTTGTTTGCATTTCAGCGTGTGGATATCAGAGAACGTGCCAGAGGATGGGTGTGATACGATGGACCGTGGGCACACATGGTGGGTGACAGGCACACATGGCCTGTGGCATCACCAGGACGTGCTGTGATGCCTGCGAGCCAGGCTGAGCACAGCTGCGGCAGGGACTGCGGCAATGTACCATGGCCACATCCCACCCCACAGCTCTGCCCTTGTCAAAACCACCCCGCTGGCCAGCCTCCTCCAGGTGGCTGTCACTTGTCCAGGTGACCTTCTGCCAGACAGGTCCTTGTGCAGGGACACCTGGCCGCCAAGGATTTGTGCTGCAGGAGGAGCCATGGCCACAGCAGCTGTGCCGGATCAGTCCCAGTGCAACCATGCTACGGCACAGGAGCTGTGCGCCCAGGAGCAGGGATCCCACTTGCTGGGATGGTGTTGGGACACATCAGCCACAGTGTTCTGGGGGCTGTGGTGGCACTTGCTAGTCCCAGAGGCTGGGGAGCAACATCCCCCCCCCCAGCAATTGCAAGGGGGGATCCCCCAAAAATGAGTGGGCGGAGACAGCAGGGACAGCGCTGGTGGCACATTAACTGGACAAGGAGGTGGTCAGGGCAGAGTCCAGGCTGGTGGGGGTGGGGACCGAGCCCCAGGGTCAGGGTCCATGGGGACAGTGACCGCTGCTGGTACAGGATGCACTGTGCCGCAGTACTGGGTGCTGCACGGGCAGCCTCCACCGCTCCTGTCCTCCCGCCTTGGCTCCTGGGGCTGGCAAAACGTGCCATGACCACCAGCCTGCTCCGCATCCCCCCACCCCAGGTGCTGCTCCGGCCCCTGGCTGTCCCAGAGAGGCTGCTACTGGGACCAAGACCCCGCAACGTGCCCCCCCGCATCCTGGCTGCAGGCGGTCGGCAGCTTCTGGGCCACATGCATGCCGAGGTGCTGCAGGTGAGCTACCCTGGGCCAGCCTTTCTCCCCTTCCCTCCTCTCCCTCACCCCCCACAAAGGGCTGGGATAACTCTGCTGGGGCAAGGGGGACGATTGCGGTGCCGGTTGGTGTCCTGCTGCCGCAGGTGATGGATGAGATCAAGGCGGGCATCCAGTACGCCTTCCAGACGCAGAACCAGCTGACCCTGGCCATCAGCGGCACTGGCCACTGTGCTGCCCTCCTCAACCTGCTGGAGAGCGGTGACACTGCGCTGGTGGCTGTCAAAGGCATCTGGGGACAACGTGCCGCCGAGATCGCCAGGAGGCTGGGTACGCTGGGGACAGCCGGATGGCACCAGCAGGGCTCAGGGGACCAGGCTTGTGGGTGGGATGGCAGAACATGACCCTGGCTTGCTGCCTCATCCCTGCAGCAGCAACCAGTGACATGGCTTTCAGGTTATTTCCAGGGTGATGTTCCTCTGTTTACGGCGGTTTATGGCTTTTCCACCGGGCAAATCCATAGACCCTGGTGGGTCACCGTGCTCCTGTTTCACACACAACCAGTTCCCCTGCAGAGCAGGTGGCTGCTCGGTGGGAGACATGCCCAAAGTTGACTCTCCCTCTGCCCAAATCCCTCCCAGGAGCCCATGTCCATGAGCTGCTGAAGCCCCCAGGTGAATACTTCACTCTGCGGGACATCGAGGAGGTGAGTGCTGGCTGCGGCATGGGGCAGCGGGGCACAACCCGACCCCAGGGGCTGTCACATTCCCCTCTATTTCATGCAGGGTCTGTCACGGCACAAGCCCTCGGTGCTCTTCATCACCCACGGGGAGTCCTCCACGGGGGTGCTGCAGCCACTGGAGGGGCTGGGCGAGCTGTGTCACCGGTCAGTGTGCAGCGGGCACTGACATTGCTGGCAGGGGTTGGGGTACTGGGCTTTGCATGTGCCAGGCTCTCCTCTGGCTCTGTTGTACTGGAAGCGGTTGGTACCCGTGACACATGTGGCCTTGAGGGGACCGGGATGCTGGGGCTGGCAAGATGAGGTGGGAGGAGGTGACAGGGACATCGGGCTGCGCTCTGTCCTCCCACAGGCATGGCTGCCTGCTGCTCGTAGATGCGGTGGCATCACTGGGGGGAGCCCCCATCTTCATGGACCAGCAGGGTAAGAGACACAGTGTCACCACAGGCAGCCAGGGGACAAGGGGACATTCCTGAGCCAGGGAGGGGGACAGTGGCATAAACCTCCCTGCCCACGTTTCAGGCTGGCAGTGCTAGAAACTGGTCCAGCTGCAGCAGAGAGCCTGTTCCCCTTGGGGGACCACCAGCAGTGCCACGGTGTCCCCCTAAGCTGACCAAACCCAGCAGGACCTGTGGCGTGTGCCACTCTGCTTCCCACCGCCACTTGCAGCACGACTGGGGAGGGCTCAGTGCCCACCGCCACTTGCAGCAGGACTGGGGAGGGCTCAGTGCATCCCTGCTGGGACCTGTCCCCGATCACTAAGGAGCTGCCTCCTCTCTTGGGCAGAGATCGATGTCCTCTACTCGGGGTCTCAGAAAGTCCTCAATGCCCCCCCCGGCAGGGCCCCTATCTCATTCAGCAAGCGAGCCAGGTAAGGGCAGCCCCATCTCACTGCGGAAAAAAAAGGAAATGGGGCTGGGGGAAGGCTGTCACGCCCCCACACACTGTGCCAGCCATCCCCAGCGCTGCTCTGGAGGTAGCTCATGGGGGTCAGAGCCCACCCCAGCCCCCAGCAGTGATGGAGTCATTGGACACTCACTTTGGGGGGTCCTCCCATGGGACCGGTGCTTGTCGGGGTCCGTGCCCGGTTCCTCCCCAGCACTCTGCTTCACCAGGGAGAAGATGCTGCAGAGGAAGACGAAGCCCTC